TACATATGTATAATGTATGTGTATATACATATATGTATATATGTATATTTGTGTATATTTATATACATATACATACATAATAGACATATGTATATAAGTATATTTATATGCATATGTATGTATATAATTACATACATATATGTATATGATTATATGTATATTTATGTATAATATACGTATATTTATATACATGTTTATATACATATACATATAAAATATACTTGTGTGTGTATATATATATGTATATGTATATGCAATGTTAAAAACATGGTATTTCTTTTGTTACCAAATTTCTTCCTTTCCTTGGGTAACCTTTAGCATTTGACTTCTATGTCATTCTTGTTACATAGAGAATTTTCATACTTCTATGTTGCATCAGTCCCCATTGTGAATATGTTTCACTTTCTCAAACCACAAGCAGGGCCTAGTCACCCTTGACAGTTTCCAGCTCTACTCCTCACCCAGGTCCCCAATGTGGCAGATCCAAATATTTGTCTTATACAACTGCCTTCTGATGACCACCTTCCCATGAGATAGCTGGTTACAACTGACTTGTCTGGCCCTGCTAACCCTCACACCCCATATGAACTGTGCAGATGCAGATATGCCACAATAACCACCTCTCAGTCACAGGTGACCTCCTAAAACTTGTGCCTGCTTGCTGTAAACCCATCAATAAAGCTCCATCCCTCTTTCATCGACCAACATCCATGCGACCTTCAGGTATGCCATTCACCCCCAGAACCTGTAATTAAAATATTTATTTTCATCTTGTGTCTCTTCTAATCACCGAAGGGGTATTCTTTATTTAAAAAAAAAAAAAATAAAAAAAGCGACAACAACAACAGGGCGTGTTGGCTTATGCTTGTAATCCCAGCACTTTGGGAGGCCAATGTGGGCAGATCATGAGGTCAGGATACCAAGACCATTCTGGCCAACATGGTGAAACCCCATTCCTACTAAAAATACAAAAATCGCTGGGCATGGTGGTGTGCACCTGTAATCTCAGCTACTCAGGAGGCTCCGGCAGGAGAATGGCTTGTTAAATCCGGGAGGTGGAGATTGCAGTGGGAGGAGGTCACGCCACTGCACTCCAGCCTGGTGACAGAGTTAGATGCCATGTAAAAAGAAACCTAAAACATGTGACTGGCTTTCTTCACACAGCATATTGTCTTTGAGATTCATCCAACTTGTAATGTGCACTGGCAATTTGTTCTTTTTTATTACTACACAGTGTCTTCATTGTGTAGATGTACCACAGTAAGTTTAACCCTTTATCTTTTTGAATGACATTTGTGTTGTAATATCAGTTTGGGACCACAGCTGCTGTTAACATTCATAAACAGGTTGTATGTGAACATGTTTTAGTTTTTCAGGGATAATTGCCCAGGAGTGTATTTGCTAGATCCTATAATCCCATCTTCATTTAAAATTTTGAAATTGTTCATTGTGGGTTTTTTGCATTAATTTTTATTTTTTTTAATATTGCATTAAAGTGCCATTTATCTTAATTACTGATGTTTGGTACCCTCCTAAAATCCTTTAACAGAGGTGAGTGCCTCACTTACCTGACCTTAGTCTTTGCCCTGGGTACATAGATATTTTGTTTTATACATATCTATCAAATGATTTTCCAGAGGCACTGACGACGTGACTGGGATTTTCACCAGCGATATGTGAATGATTCAGTTTCTATCCATCCTCACCAGCATTTGGTATTGTGCTCGTAAACATTTTATTCCAGTCTGTGGCTTTTCTTTTCATCCTCTTTATAGTCTTTCAAAGTTGTTTTTGTTTTTTTTTTTAATCAGGATGATATGCAATTTATTAGTTTTTCTTCAAACAACTAGTATTAGTTCTAAAACTTCATTGGCAAATCCTAGGTCCCAAAGATTTTTCCCAAATTTTGTTTTTTTTTTCCTAATGGTTTCACATAGTTTAAAATTGTACATTTAATTTCAGGATCTATTTGGTTAAAGTTTTTTATAAGAAATGAGATTTAAGTTGATGCTGTTTCATTTTAGAGTTTTTATCTAAACTGGAGGTTTTATCAAATTTATATTGAAATTGTATAGAAATTATTACATATATCTATGTGCTCCTTGACCTGTGAGAGAACTATTACTAATATTTGGTACTTACAGCCTCTATCCTAGTGTAATACCACTAAAATAAGCTACTGAGAAATTAATTGGGGTCTGGTTGTACGTTTGATTTTGGTTATAGGTTTTTCAATAAAAAACAAGGTCATTTTTCTTATCCTTCCCATAGAAACTGGGTTAGGCCTTAGTACATTTAAATATACAGATCCACTGCCTAATGGAAAAACTAGAATTTCTTTGTTAATATTTTGGTCTGATCTCCAACCCTTCCCCAAAATCCTTTTCAAAATTGTAAGAAATCTGGGAAACAAATGGAACCAAATGTATATCAAAACACCTAGGCCATGATTCACAACCTATTTAAACATAATGCACATTTTTATTATAAGAAATGTAACACTCTTATTCTGAAATGAATTCATAAATGATTTTAAAAACTACCTACATATAAATTTTTAATTCGGTATAGTGGTCTTACTGTATAATAAAGGTGAAATAAAAGGAAATTGATTTATAATCAAATAATGCATATATCATTTTAATGTTTGAGCATGAGTACACTAAAATGTATAATGAAATAGATGATTTTACTTACATGTAATCTCCCAATGCAATAGTTACAAGTACAGTCCATTATATGCATATTGCATTGGTCATTTAAAATTCACGAATTAGAATGTCACTGTTTTCTTAATTTGTCAAAATGGTAATTAAATTTTGGTAATGTACTTAGCAAAACAAAGTAACTCTTTTCTCAATTTACACATCATTTGCATTCCTGATAATGTATATAAAAACAATACAAAAACTATTTCTTAAGTTGGTTTTTACCCGTGGAGCTAAATTTTCACGTCAAACATACATTTCTCACCTTTGTAGAGACAACTGTTGTGAAGTTATCTCTACAGTTTAAAGAAGCAAGAATCTGCTAATCAGAAGTGCTGCCTACATTCCAGAATATCTAACATCCCCAGCCTTCAGCTATTATAAACACCAAACCTTCTCACATGCTTTCTAAATGCCCCCTAAATGTGGGAGCTGACTCACTACCAAGAAACCCCACCCTAATCTAACTGCACAAAATGTGACTACTGCAGACACTAAGCAAACTATGTAAATGTATGAATCTGCCTGGTTTACAGGATGTACGAGGTGTCAGTGCCACGTTCCTTTCAGACCTGGAAGGGAACTTTGAGAATAATATCTTCTCCTTCCAAGTACGTGACGTGGTCCTGAACCATGCCCCAGACTTCCGCCGGGTCTACCTGCCTTTTGTCACCAACCAGACCTATCAGGAACTCACCTTCCAGAACCTGATGAATAGCAACAGCGATTTCCGAGAGGTCTTGGAGAAGCTGGAGAGAGACCCCGTCTGCCAGCGCCTTTCCCTCAAGTCCTTTCTGATTCCGCCCTTCCGACGCATCACCCGCCTCAACCTGCTGCTCCAGAACATTCTGAAGAGAACACACCTGGCTCCTGGGAGGAAGCAGAGGCCGCGAAGGCGCACCACGCCCTGCAGCAGCTGATCCGGGACTGCGATGACCACGCCCAGAGAATGCAACGGACCCAGGGGCTAATCTACCTGAGCCAGAAGATGGAGTCTGAGTGCACAATATTCCCACTCATTTCTCAGTCACGCTGCCTGGTAAAGAGCGGGGAGCTGACCGCCTTGGAGTTCAGGGTGTCCCCAGGGCTGCGAAGGGAGCTGAGCGCGCGTCCAGTCCACCTGCACCTCTTCAGTGACTGCTGCTGCCTCGGGCCCAGAGGGTAGCCGATTCCTGGTATTTGAGCATGCTCCCCTCTCCTCCCCTGGGGGGAGAAGTGCGAAATGAGGCTACACGGACCTCGCAAAAACCTGTTCTCTTTCTGCGGCAAAACACTGGGGGCGCCCGGGCCGAGTTCCTCTTCCGCACGGAGACGCCAAGTGAAAGCTTCGGCGGATCTCAGCCTTGGCCATGCCGAGAGAGGAGCTGGACCTTCTGGAGTGTGACGACTGCCCCAAGTGCAGCGCCTTCGAGCCTACAAGCCCCGAGAGAATGACGAGTTGGCCCTGGAGAAAGCCGACGTGGTGATGGTGACCCGGCAGAGCAGTGACGGCTGGCTGGAGAGCGAGAGGCTCTCGGATGGGGAGCGAGGCTGGCTTCCCGTGCAACAGGTGGAGTTCATTTCCAACCCAGAGGTCTGTGCACGGAACCTGAAGGAAGCTCATCGAGTCAAGACTGCCAAGCTACAGCTGGTGGAACAGCAAGCCTAATGTTCCCTGATTGGAGTTTCCTGAGCTGAAGAACAAGCTGCTCGTGGCAAGGGCTGGCCCCAGAACCCTGCAAGAGAGGCCTTCTGTGGACGGAGAACCAGGCCTTCTCAAAGCCCAAGGACAAAATCCAGCTAACCCAGACCCTCGGCCCAGGCCTCCTTTTGTGCTTTGTGCTTGGTGAGGGGATTTCGAGGGACTTTGCACTGGACTCTGGGAACCTTTCATTTTAGGAAAAGGGACCACCGGGGCCTGAGCCAAGGAACTTCCCTGCGACTGCCTTACAGTGCTTCAACATTCTCCTCCTCTCAGGTGCAGAGGCGGAGCTGGCCAGAGTTTCAGTGATGGCCATTTCTTAAACAGAATCTGACCTCAGTCTCCTGGACGGAGATTAAGAGGGGTTAACACATCAGATGGGAGGGTCAGCCCGGTGACCTCTAAGGTATCTTCCAACCCTGGAAACTCTCCAAAATTATTGGTGAGAGGTCAGTGTGTCTCTGAGATCTATGTCTGTTGGTGGCAATGTGAGGGTAATACTCTCTCACGCTAATAAACTTGGCACCTCTCAAAAAAAAAAAAAAAAAAAAAAACAAGGTCAGTAGGGTGCTTTAAATTTCAGTATGTTAAGAGTACTTAAATGTATTTGTAAATAATGATGGAGGTCTTCCCACATGACTGACTAGGGGCACAGGACACTCAACTTTTCCACAAAGAATAGCTTCCTTTTACTGAGTAGATAATCACACTTTGAATAGAACATCTAAAAGAGAGTACTGGAATTCAGCAGAGAAGAGACAAGAAACACGAGACACCTGAGAAGAGGGAGGTGATGTGGACAGCCCAGCAGCGACAGGCTGGAACCCCACAGAGGCTCCCCAGTGCAAGGAGAGGTCAAGTAAGAGATTCGTTCACATTCTCATTGCAGATTTCTGTAATCCTAGCTATAGAAGAGTCCCTCAACCCATGTAATCTCTGAGGCCGGCGTAAGGATTTCCTTGTAATGTCTGCACAATGGTATTGCTCCAGAAAGGGAGCTCACACTGGGTCCCACACCATCCTAGAGTCCCATGCAACTGCAGTAAAGGGTCATTTTGAGAGTCCAAACCCAAGTCAACTGCATCCTGACATGAGGCATGAGAGCCTGTGTATCTCCACATCCCTGAAGCCCCACTAACATCCTCCAACTTTCACCTGGAGGGCTGTAGTGGTGAGAAGCTGGTTAGACCCAGTAGAGCAGTAAGGGCCCTAGCACTCTAGCCCATAGTTCCCTGCATGCCGGGAGAAGGGCAGTGCAGAGCAACAGAGAGGCTGTCTCCAGGATGAAAGGAACCAAAGAGCATGCTCCCCAGAGTCTGAAACCCACGTCTTGGGCCAGCAACCCTGCTTCACCTCAGCAATGGGATGCCACCCATGTCCAAGTACTCTGGAAACAGACTCTGTTCACCATCTGCTGCAGCCACTGTCACCACTGGAAAATTAAACACATAATCCCAGAGTCTAAAATTTCTCTTTGTGGGGCCATTGTCACTAACAGTAATGCTGCCCCCTCAACAGCAGAGCTGCCACATATGTGCATGTGCCCTAAAGACAACATTTCAACACTCACTGCCTTTGTTGCCACCACTACACAAGCATACCACCGGGGATCTAGGGATCATCCTGCCCTGATCGCCACAGCCTGCACCTGTGTTTCCCACTGGAGAGCCTGAGGACAGTGACAAAGCCTGCTACCTGGGGGTCCAGTGATCAATCCACCCAACTGGTCACCAGGTACACTTGCAGACCACCAGGGAGCCAAAGAACAAGTCCAGAAATAACTGCTACTGATACCCAAGCATACTTGTTGGGAGGCCTGGAGATTGCCCCATCCTATCCAACACTGCTGGCATCTGGAAATTTATCCTGGGGGCCTGCTCGGCTTGTCACAGCCACCACTAATATCAGCAAGTGCCACCTGAAAGCTCATGCATTTGTCCCACTGCTACTACTATCACTGCTCATATCACACACTCTGCTCAGGGTCCAAGGACTCGTCAACCTACCTGACCACCTGCTTCCACTTCTGGCACTCAAGCAAGCATTTGGAGGCCCAAGGATAGTCCTGCCTGGACCTGCTAGTGCCAGTGCATATGTACACAGAGGGGCCTCAAGGATAGGCATACTTGGCCTATTGCTGCCACCATGGGGTCCTGAAAAGTGGTCCACATGGTATCCCATTCCAAGCAAAAGTTTCCTTCAGCCTTCGCTAACATCTGCACCCTAAGTCACTGAAAAAGTCAGACACCACTAATACTGTTTACAGCCAAAGCAATTATATAAAAACCATACTACTGCAAGAATCCAAAATCAAAGCTAAAGTGCCCTACATGCATGAAACCACAGGTAAAGCTGTAGGAAAAAGTCTTCTCCAGTGAAAGCCAATTCAAAAAATTAGAAGAAGTAACTGTTACACCTCAGGCACAGGTATCAATGAAGGGCCACAGAAACATAAAAGAGCAACAGCAAGAAATTGACACCTCCAAAGGAACACAGTAATTCTCCAGCAACAGATTCCGACAAAAAGAAATGTACCAAATACCTGAGATAGAATTCAAAATAATAATATTAAAGAATTTCAGTGAAGTACAGAAGAAAATAAATAAGCAATACAAAGAATCAGAAATAATGTAGAATCTGAATGAGAAATTCAAGAAAAGATAGATATCATTTAAAAGAAAACACAATCCTTGAACTAAAGAATTTCATAAATGAAATGTAAAGTACAATTGCACACTTCCATAACAGACTAGATTAAGCAGAATGAATCATTTCAGAACGAGAAGACAGTTACTTTGAAATAACCTACTCAGATTTTTAAAGTTGAATAAAAAAATAAAGAAAGCCTACATGATATATGGGACATGATAAAGCAACACAATATCTAAATTTGGGATCTCCCATAAAAGGAAAAGAAGTTTAATGGCATTAAAAAACCTATAAACAAAATAACACTTGAAAATTTTTCGAGACTAGCAAGAGACTTACACATTCAGACACAGGACACTCAGGGATCCCCAAATAGATACAACCACAAAGGAACTTGTCTCTGGCACATTGTTGTCTAATTGTCAAAGACCAAAGACAAGGAGAGTTGTAAAAACAACAAGAGAAAAGTATCTAATCACATATAAAGGAACCCCTATTAGACTAACAGCAGATTTCTCAGCAAAAAACTTGGCAGGTCAGGAGAGAATGGGATGATATATTCAAAGTGCTGAAAGAAAACAACTGGTAACCATATCCAGAGAAGAATACCATATCCAGCAAAGTTATCATTCACAAGAGAAGATGAAATAAAGATTCCCTGTTAAGCAAAAACTGAGAGAATATTTTACCACTAGAATGGCCTTACAGAAAATGCTCAAGGAAATCCTGTATTGAAAGCTAAAGAGAGACACCTACAGTCATGAAAACATATGAAAGTGTAAACTGGTACATACAGCAAACATACAAATATGGAAAAGGAAGAACTTAAATGTTATTACTTCCAAATCATAACCATAAACAATAAGAGAGAAAGAAAGGAACAAGGAATATACAAAGCAACCAAAAACAATTAACAAAATGACAGTAATACATTCTCACATATCAAAATTACCTTGAAAGTAAATGAGTTAAACTTTTCACTTAAAATTTATATACCACATGACCCAACTATATGCTGTGTCCAACAAACTCACCTCACCTCTAAAGACACATATGGATGGAAAATATAGGAATGGAAAAAAAATCTATTCAATTGGAAAGAAAAAGCAAGCAAAAATAGATATACTTAGATAAAACAGACTTTAAGTTAAAAATATTAAAGAGATCAAGAAAGTATTTATATAATAAAGGAATCAACTCATCAAGAAGATTGAACAATTCCAATATATATATGCACTGTATTAGTCTGTTTTCATGCTACTGATAAAGACATGCTTGAGACACGGCAATTTACAAAATGAAGAGGTTCAATGGACTTACAGTTCCACATGGCTGGGGAGGCTTCACAATCATGGTGGAAAGCAAGAAGGAGCAAGTTATGGATGGCAGCAGGCAAAGAGAGAGACAGCTTGTGCGGGGGAACACCTCTTTTTAAACTATCAGATCTCATGAGACTTATTCACTATCATGAGAACAGTACAGAAAGATCTGCCCTCATGATTCAGTTACCTTCACAGGGTCCCTCTGACAACATCTGGGAATTCAAGGTGAGATTTCGGTGTGAACACAACCAAACTACATAATGCACCTAATACTGGAGCACTGAAATATATAAAGCAAATATTCTTAGATATAAAAGGACAGACAGACTCCAACAAGATAATAGTTTAGGACTCCAATACTCCACTCCTTGGAATAGATTGATTAACTTGACAGAAAATCAGCAAACAATGGATTCAAACTGCACATTAGCCTCAATGGATCTAAACAGACATTTAAAGAACATTTCATACAACAGATGCACATTCTTCTCATTGGCATATGATACATCCTCCAGGATATACCATATGTTAGACTACAAAACAAATCTCAACAATTTTTTTAAAAATTGAAATCTTGTCAGATATCTTCTGAGACCACAATAGCATACTATAAGAAATCAGTAACATGAGATACTTTGAAAACTGCACAAATACATGGAAATTAAGCCACATGCTCCTGAACAATCATTGGGTCAGTGAAGAAATTAAAACAGAGATCAAAACCTTTTTTGAAATGAATAAAAATGGAAACAATATATGAACACCTACAAGATATAGAAAAAAAAAGTAGTGCTGCTAGGGAAATTTATAACAATAAATGCTTACATCTACCGAGAACCAGCTCGGCCGGGAGACTCCCACCCAGGCTGGCTAAAGGTATTGAGAGAGGCAGACACCCAGGTAGCCAACAGACTAGATCTATCCTGGGGACCAATAGCCTGAGAGTCTGCAGGGTTTGAAGGTCTCCAGGACTGAAGGCCTTGAGCAGAGATTCATCCATGTATTTATTTACTCTTTGACAGGTGATTCTTATTAATACACAGGTGTTCTACATATATACATAACTCAAGAATATACCAAGTAGGTAGGCAGCTGTTACTCTCCTACCACTAATTACAAATTACAAGGTATCCTCCACAAAGGAGCCATGGGGGCAGAGTATACTTAATGTTTCTCAACATACATCAAAAGGTAGAAATATTTCAAATAAACAACCTAACAATGTACCTCAAGAGACTAGAAAAGCAAGAAAGCCAAACCCCAAATTAGAAGGAATAAAAATATCAGAGCAGTACTAAACAGAGACTAAAAGAAACAATAAAAATAATCAGCAAAATTAAAGCTTAATTTATCAAAAAGATATATAAAATTGGAAAATCTCTAAGTATACTAACCAAGAAAACAGAGAAGACCCAAATACACAAAATTAGAAATTAAAACGAAGACATTACTACTGATACCACAAAAATACAAAATATCATTGAGACTACTACGGACAACTAAACACTAACAAACTAGAAAACCTAGAAGAAATAGATAAATTTTTAGACACATACAACC